ACCCCGGTACAAGAACAACTCTGAAACAAGGCAGCTAAATTAAGCACATATAGAGAACTTGGGCAGTAGACTAAGCATATGGAAGCTCTTTTTGGAAGGTCTTCATAAGTAGATCTTGTGGATTCATGGTTAGCTCTATATATTTTTATTCCTCTCGACTCAAGCCAACTGCACTTGTATCAGTTTCAGATGTTGAACAACTGACCCTTTGCTAAGCCCCGACCCTTGGTGCAATTGTCAAATTCGCTCAAAGTGGTTAAAATTGACGTTTAGGGCGAATAAATGACGGACAGCCCAAAATAGACAATCTGATGGTACGTTTGCATGACAAAGTTTTTCCTTTGCGTTTTTTTTTTTGGTGTACAGACGACAACGTTGTCAAAACGATACCCCATTCACACGGATCTGAGAAAATGATTTAAAATGCTATATTTATGCATTGTAGTTGGTGATGGCCCTTTGTAAAGAATCACTTTGAGCCTATAGACGAACACATAATACTAGGGATGCACAGATATAAACATTTTGGCCTATACCGATAACCGATAATTCTTTATATTTGAAAGCCGATAACCGATATATCTGCCGATAAACTTAAATCCAAATTTGGATCAAAAGTCTCACAATTAAATCCATGTCCCAAGCCCACAATTATAATGATGTTCTCATTATAGTGTTGTATAGCCGATATGACAGATTTGCGGTGCGCATGTTGTACCGAACCGTATTTTCATTTTTTTTACATCGTATTTCAAGAAATTCAAAAACATAAACATTGCTCAACAAGTGTCTCAGCTGAAGAGAATAATGCTTTATTTATCGGCTTTAATATATCAGCCACATTTTCTTACCAGGCCGATAACAACAACATTAAAAATGAACATATATCGGCCGATACCGATATGCTGGCCGATATATCGTGCATCTCTACATAATACGCATGTGCCTGACATCACCTTTTTAACAAATTTTTAAACACAGTTTGTGTTTTCAGGCGCCTCAAACGCTGTTGTCATATAAATAAACGACCAAAACGCATAGCAAGTGTTTCGTTTTTTGTCTTGTGAACAGCCCCTAATCGTTGCACAGAGAAGCCTTGTTGCTTTCGGCCATTTTGTTTGTCAAGCTTTCATTTTGGCAAATTTGTTTAACTATGGTAAAGTTGTTTTATGGCATGTGTAATTTCAATATCCAGAGTGGGTTATTAAGTTTTGTTCGTTCCATTCCCGAAATCCCCTGGTAATCTCAAATGCAAGTGGTGGATCAGACTTGTCTCTCTTTATTGGCCTTTGTTCATTTTAAACTTCTGTGATTCCGCAATCTTCACTCCATTAAATAAAAAGACTGTGTGTGTGTGTGTGTGTGTGTGTGTGTGTGTGTTTGGGCAGTTTTCATTAACGCTACTTCCAATTTAGGAAATCACTTGTCATTTTGTTTGACGGACATTGAGTATCCTACCCTATCTCACGACCAATTTGTACGAATTCGTACGAGTGATTAAAAAGTGGCTAATTCTTACGACCTCACTCGTATGAATTCGTACGATTTGTCTAAACCCACGTGATGGTTAGGTTTAGGGGCAGGGGCAGGGGTAAGTCATTCGTACAAATTCATACGAATTGGCCAATTCGTAAAATATGTACGATTTAACAAAATCGTACTAATTCGTACGAGTGAGGTCGTATGAATTGTTACGAATGAGCCACCTCGTAAAATTCGTAGGTGTAGTTAAGTAACCACTGTCATAAGGTCTGTTGAATAGATATTGTTCTGAGAGGTAGAATGTAGTGAAATATTGCAAAGCATTTTCTCTTGCTGCTTTTACTTTAAAGATATTAAATTGTTCAATATTGCAATGAAAAACCAAGTCAGATTCAAAGCAAACGTTGATCAGATATCTGAAGAGAAAAGCCTAATTTGAAAAAGATTTCAAGTGCTAACAATAGTGTAAGTGAACAGAAATACTACATTTTCAATGTTTTATGGTACTGTATATTCTTTAGGTCTGAGATTTAGGTTAGTTTCAGTGACCGGACTGATGATACAGCAGGAGTGAGTGACTATATCGTAGCAGGTGTGATCGTACCAGTTGGAGCCTTAGGCGTAAACGTGCTTTTCTCAAGTGGTCTTTTAAGCGATTGGGGTGTGGTTTTTCCCATCTTATTCTTTTCTTGGGAAACTTGTGGAGGCATGGTGTTAGTGTACCTGAGCGGATATGTGTCATGGCGATGACTGTCATACTGAGTGGAAGGTGTGCCTGGCAAGGTCCCAGGAAATGATATCATATACGCCCATTCATGTAAAAAGACATGTGGGGGATTAGTTGACAGATGGGTAGAACAGGATCACCTGTCTTAATGCAAACCACAATGACGAAATTGATGTGTCTGATTATTTGTCATCCAGTTTCCCATGTCAGCTGAAATCTGGCACAAAATGTATTCAATGAGCACAAAAGGAGGTCCTTAATGGTTATATAATTTATAGGGATAGATCACACAAAAATAAAAAAAAAGGTTAATGTGGATGTCTTAAAGGAGTAGTTTCCATTTTAAAATCTTAAAATGAAAAATGTAATTGTTTACTAATGTTTCCTCCCATGGAACGCTTTTTCTTTTGCCATTAGAAAAGCCCCTATGCTGGACTGTTTTACTAGTCATTTAAATAACTTCAAAATCAATTTGATTAGGAACTCTTTGTATTTTGTACTATATTACCAACCTGTTAAATTGCGTGAGTGCGTGCATGATTGGTCCTGGTAAACCCTACATTACGGGAACAAAATATCCCCACAAAAATGGCAACATCCAAAATCCTTGTCCTTGTAAGGACATTTTTTATCACCATGAGGAAAATGGCTTATAAACCATACAAGTGATGTTTTTTGAAAATGTCGAAATGCAGAATGTAATTATTATTATCTAAATATTATATTTCTGTGTGTGTGTGTGTGTGTGTGTGTGTGTATATGTGTATATATATATATATATATATATATACACACACATATACATGTATACTGATTATACACACATTATACACACATACATTTATAAATATGTATATAGCCTATACACCTATATATTTGTGTATACGTGTGTGTGTATATACAGATATATATATATATATATTAGGGCTGTGCAAAAGTTAATTGCGATTAATCGCATCCAAAATAAAAGTCTGTGTTTACATAATATATTTGTGTGCACTGTATATAATTATTTTGTATATATAAATACCTATGCATGCATGTATATATTTAAGAATTATTTGCGCTTAAATTCTGTATATATTTATAAATACATAATCTATATTATATAAATATAAATATTTTATATATGAATAACACATTTTCTTAAATATATACATGCATGTGTGTGTATTTATATATACAAAATAATTATATACAGCACACACAAATATATTATGTAAACACAGACTTTTATTTTGGATGCGATTAATCGCAATTAACTTTTGCACAGCCCTAATATATATATATATACACACACACACACACACAGATTATGTAAACAAACTTATGTTGGATGGGATAAATTGCTTTGACAGCACTAATTTATTTGATTTCTTTACATACATTATATTATTATTATTGTATCATTGTGTTTGGAGTATTATTAAATTTTACAATATACAATGTTTATTTGGTTTGTAGCGCTTTGGGTGTGTGAAATTTATTATAATTATTATAGCAAATGGGTTTGGAACAACATGATTGTGAGAAATGACAGAATTGTCCTTTTTGGGGGGGGGGGGGATGTTTTTTTAAAGAAGAATATTGTGGAAATTGTGTACAAAAACCTGGACGATAAACTCCCTATAAGTTTAACCTTGACGTTAAACTCCCTATACTACACCTTGTCCTCTTTATGCTGTTAGACTCTTTGCTTTTGATTTGCTTTCATTCATGAATGTTCTTCAGTTTGTTTGGTCCCTGTCTTCAAGTTAAGTCCATCTGTCCAGTTTCAAAGCCAGAGCTGCAAACAGCCTGTTTTTCTTCATTTACTGTGCCTGCTCTCCACAGTCTAAATGTATCTGGCTCTCTAATGTAATTACACACTGGAATTCTGTGCTGGATGCTGATTAAGCACAAGAGGACTGACAAGCAAATCTTTCATAAACCCTTACTTAGCAGAACATCTGCAAACGAGCTAGTCTGATGCTGAGGTTGGCACTTCTCGCACCTCTTGTGACCCGTATGAGCGTGCTGCCATCTAGTGTATGATGTGATGTACTGCGATTTTAGTGATCAGCTGTCTCCGTATTTGGAAGAAAGCAAGTCATTTTTGTATATTTTCTTTTTCTATATAAGTGTTTATTACTGAAAATGTCCCAAAGGCCTTTTAAGGCCATCTTGTTAGTGGCCTCAAACAGTTTTTTACAAATGCTATACACTGAATGAAATTTAAACAGCCCAAAACTGTTCCTCAATTATCTACAGTAGGCTACATGTCATCAATCATCTATAGAAATCTAACTGTGGCATTATTAGTGTTCTTTATTTAGATCAAATATATTTAGCACAAAATATGTTTAGGCTTGTCCAGCTGCACTTGGAATTTACATAAATTAGATTTATTATTATTATTTTAATTTTTTTTATACACCAGCATTTAAAAGTTTAGTGTCTAAGATTTTTAAATGTTTTTTGAAAGATGTCTCTTATGATTCCCTCGGCTGCGTTTATTTGATCAAAAATACAGTACAAACTGTAAAAAATGATTGTGAAATTACACTTTCCATTTTAATATATTGTAAAATGTAATTTATTTCTGTGATGGCAATGCTCAATTTTCAGCATCATTACTACAGTTTGTCACATGATCCTTCAGAAATCATTCTTATATCCTGATTTGGTGCAAGAAAAATGTATTATTATTATCAATGTTGAAAGAATTTGCTACATGGTCGTTAAAGATGTTAAAATGTGTAGGTTTACCGTGAACACGGACTCATTCCCTTCTGCTCTGATGTGTCCTCAGGCAGCTGCAGGAGCTCCAGCGTCAGAAGGAGCAAGAGCGGGAACGACTGGAGAGAGAGCGGCTAGAGCGGGAACGGGTAGAGCGAGAGATGCTGGATCGGGAACGGCAGGAACGGGAACGGCAGGAGCGGGAACGGCTGGAGAGGGAACGTGCTGAGCAGGAACGTCTGGACCGCCTGGAGCGTGAGCATCAGGAACAGGAGCAGCTGGAGCGAGAACGCCAGGAACGGGAGCGCGCCGAGCGGGAGCTGATGGAGAGAGAGCGTGCGGAGAGAGAGAAGCAAGATAGGGAGCACCAAGAGCAGCTGGACAGAGAGCAGATGGACTGGGAGAGAGGGAGACGTATCTCCAACGCCGGTGAGCATCTTTATCTTCTCCAACGTCTTTTTATAGACAGATAAGATGTAGACGGGATAGGCTGAGGTCAAAATATGAGTGAAGTTTTAACACAAACTAATAATATATGTGGAGTTTCTTCTGTTGCTGAGCATGCAAATGCCTGTGAAATGCTGTTAGTGTGCATTAGAAACAAGTTCTGCAGTTACTACGCCCATGAAATTGTATTTAAAACTATTTTTGATGTTATTCTTTTATGTTAACTATGTGTTCGAACTAGTACAGTTCTGGCTGCTAATTGTTTTCATGCTATAACTGATAACCGATAAACAACATTGAAAATCTGTACTACTTTGCCTAAAAATAACTCGCCACATTCGCATAAACTCAAATAAATGCAATTCTTGTCAATTTTAAATCAATTATTTGATGTTTAAGTGAATGTAAGCAGCACCACAACAATATAATACAATATTCGACTAATATAAAATATGGAAAATGTTAAATTGAGAATGTACATCTCTACTATAATGTATCTCGATGTTTCCTTTTGTTGTTCTTGCTGTAAAATATATTTTTAGTATGTGCTTGGCCTCTTGCTCGACGGGATACTACATCCTTGCGTCTTATTATATCAATAGGCGATCTTCTCCTGACGTGTCCATCTGTCAGTGTGTTGGGAGAATCTGAATCCACAGCTTGAGATGATGGAACTCACAAACTAACCACACATTTCTCTCACACTCTCCTGTGTACAGCTCACTAGGATTATGGGTAACCTGCCAGGTCGATTCAATACGAATGTTGCTGTGACCTGTTTTACTTTTGTAATTTGACATAGGTTTGATAGAAACGGGATATGTTTTTTCCACTATTATTAGATTGGATCGTGAAAAGTGTGCATTATATAACAGAGTGTATCCAGACTGAATTCAAATTTGCCAAAATTGACTTAATAGTTATTTGGCTATCCATTAGCCTGTAAAAATAAGATTAGCAGAAAAGGAAAGTTTTTAGATTTTACTAAAATAACATGCACCTTTGAATAGTTCACGATAAGACTAAGAACTTGGAATAAGAAAATAAATAAGGTAAATTTTAACTTAGTGTTAGCTTTAAATGGCCTCTTATAAAGTTATAGTGCATATACAGTATTTGAGTTCATCATATTAGATACAATTCTCAGAATCATGCGCCATCCAAAAATACACATGGGGGAGGGGATGTTTATTTCACAGACACTGTATGAGTGGCCAGGCATCAGGCTTTATAGGCATAATTATCATTCAAGTGTTAAACATTTGAGCATGATGCATGTGTGATTATTTGCATCAGAAAATCTGTATTATATGCCACTGATGTTGTACTTTGGATATAGTGAGATGCAATATTCCACAGAAGGAATGCCAAAAGTAAACCTTTTAAATACTGTATAGTTTGCTCAGGGATATATTGAACCTAAATTACTACTAACTCAACTGGTTCTGTCACACATTGTTAATGTGGCAGTCAGATTTGTGAAAATATAATGTTTACAGAAAACTAGAGCTTTATTCAATTGTTGTGAATTGTAACATTTTTCCTCAGGTTTTTACATACTCCCAAAAGCTCACAAGGAAGGCTCACATAAATGTTTGCAGTGTCCTTTTTAAAAAATATACTTGGACAAATCGGCAGCTGATGTGTTTTTCACTGCAGTATTGACTTCGGGTGCTCTTAATGTTTTATTCTGACTGTTGAATTGACACTAAATTGAGTTCTCTGTCTGTTATGAAGTCTTTCTGTATGAAAGTTGTACTTTTGGTGGATATTGTCTTGACTCTGTGACTTCTGCGTCATGTCTGGGAGAAGGATTATCAAATAAATATCCCAAGATTCTGCCAGATTGGTGCAACAAAATCTGTATCATTATTTGAGGCAATAGTGGGGACAGGTGAAATAGGTTCTTTAATTTAATGGTAGGAGCCAAAACTTTCTGCTAAATGTTCATTTTTCACTTCAGCATATGATATGCAATAATTTGTAAATAAATAGTCATTAGTATTAAAAACTGTGTATATGAGTGAGTCACAAGTTGACTTTGGACAAGTTGGATTAGTCCGAAGAGCACAGCCGATTGGTCTTGCCATGTGACCGCCTGTGCTTTAGGAGTGGAAGAATTTCATTAAGTCACTCTGGTGAACATACTGCATTACATTCTGGGTCATGTGGTCTGCTTGTCAAAGCGAATAGTGTGGAAATGCAGAGGAGGCCAGTGAAATGGAAGAAAATAAGGCACAAATAGGTTATAAAAGCTGCAATCAAGTCATGAAGCCAGCTTGAACAAGGGGAAATGGTTAATAACCTGAATGTAGGGCATGATAATTTGTGTTTGCCTGTGTGTTGACGTGTATTTTGAAGAGTGCTCAGGGGGCGTGGTGGGCTTCACGCAGCAGGAGGGCAGCTGTGTCTGCAGGCTGCTTATGAGAATCACTAGAGCGGAAAGATTTCGCCAACATATGGCAGGCAGTGACTCTTACAGTGCAGACCAAAACATGAATTTACATGCATTTCCTATATAAAGTAAACACCCATAAATATATGGCAAATTAAAATGATTATAATTAATTCAGCAAGAATGAGTTCGATTTGATCAAAAGTGATCGTAAAGACATAATGCTGATCCTTGTATTAATCAAAGAATCCTGAAGAAAAAAATATGAAGCAGCACAACTGTTTTCAACACTGATGATAATCAGAAATGTTTCTTGAGCACCAAATCAGCATATTCGAATAATATATGTACATTTGTGATTTTGCACACAGCTCCTGATTCACCAATGATGTTGTTTCGGTGGAGTATTCTGTTGAATTAGTTTGAACCCATTCAGATTTTCCTGCGATATTAGACCGTATAAAGAGCAAACAAGTTTTCATTAGCATAACTTCTATTCATTATAATTTTCTTGGCATGACTAGCCTTTAGCAGGCGTGTGATGATACCTGAGACCCTAACCTCACGTGCATCCAGGAGTTACATCAACCCTTCGGTTGCTTTCTCCTGAAAGTACAACATGCTAAACTGGATGTTTGTGTAAAATGTTGCCCATGTGTTGGAGTTGATCTTTTCTAGTTCATGATGTTTCCACAGCTAACCGAGTGTACTAATTCTAGTGTGTTCCCTGTTCATAGACAGAAATAAGAACATATGATGGACTTGTAGGTCTCTGCTGGTTTTCTTGCTTCATTTGCCCCCTTTCTCTCTTCTGTCTCCTTCCCCCCTTTCTCTCTTTGTCTTGTGTTCTTTCCCTTTGCACGGTTGCTGCTACCTCCCTCCTGTCCTGTCCTCCGGTTGTGTGCAGCATTTGAAAGCACCCTCTACACTCCTCCACCTCCTGAATACAACAAGACCACCTCCTCCTTACCAGTCTCTCCTTCCACACCCAGTTACCCTCCACCGGCGCCATTGCCCTCCACAGCCGCTCCTCCAACCCCGCCCATGCGTCACTCTGCCTCCCGATTCGCCACATCGCTAGGCTCCGCCTTCCACCCGGTCCTGCCTCATTACGCCACGGTCCCTCGCAGGCAGCCTGCCCCGCCCACACCACCGCCCTCTGCCCCAGCTCCTCCTCCTTTAGCTCCGGCCTCCAAATCCGTCGTCTGGACGGCTAACAACTTCACTCCCTTACCGCCGTCTCCTCCGGTCATGATAAGCAGCCCCCCGGGCAAGGCAACGGGACCCCGCCCGATGATCGCAATCCCAGCCCCCAGTCCGCTCTCCCAGAAACCCCCTTCGCCCATCTCGGCGCCCAACGGGCCGCCCACCTCGCTTCACTTCCACACCTCATCCCCCGTCTCGGGTCAGCCGTTCTCTTCGCCCCCGACGCCGCCCCCTCCGCCGCCCCTGTACTCTCCCTCACCCACCTTGCCCATCGCTCCCCTTGTGTCGTGTCCCTCACCCCAGCCTGCTGTTCTCCCTTCTCCTTCCACAGCCTTCCCTGCCTATGCTGAGCACTCTGTAAACTCTGGGTTGGGAGACTCCTACTCCTCTGCTCCAGAGCCGCCCACTCAGCCTGCTGACTTCCCCAGCCAGCCGGGTAAGGCCTCTTCTGTGTTGCTCAGCCTCCACTAACCCACTAATTGGGGTTCGAGGAGGGGGCCTGCCATGTTGAGCTGGGTTTGCTTTTGGCTGCAATTGGCTTCTATCGATTGCTCGTTGGCTCAATATGAAACCTTTTTGTCTTGTCTGTTGGGTTGTACTGGTTCCTGTGATCATCGGTCATATGAATGCTCATTTGTGTGGCCTGTAATTGTGTGAAATGGCATGGCATGAAAACACATCTCCACTCTCTTGTGAAACTTTGAGTCTCGCGTTTTGGAAAGCGGGTGTCTTTGCTTTAGTTCTCATCCTTTTTTTCTGGAGTTTATCACAACCATCTCATTCTGATTATTGGTTTATGGTAAAGAAGTTCTTGATGTTAGCATGTACAAGCGAGCTGTCAATGCACAGTAAGCTTTACATGATCCACATCCGCTGGTTATTCACATTCACAAATTTGATTCATGAAACATCCTTGTTTTAAAAAGCAATGTTTAAACGAAATGAAAAATTGTTACAAACTGCATAGAATAAGTGGAGATTTTCATGAGGTCAGGTCACCAGCAATGAAAAATAAGATCAGCTCTTCCTCTGAATTATTTATAGAAGAGGTTTTAGACTTCACACTCCATATGCATGATGTTGCTTGACGCTACACACTAATATGATTAACTTGAGTGTGTTTGGCAGGCATGCATGTCACATAAACGTCAGCTGTTCATACCCTAAAAAAGCCAAATGTGAAATAGGCTGATACTGTCCTAAAGAGGGATGAAACCATTACCCCAATTACATCTCTGCATTTTGTTACATTTATGTACAGATTTGTTTCATATTCCCATAAATCATCAGTTTCTTCCTTGTGTATGATGTTATAAATGAATGATCATCAGCTTAGTGTCATCTGTCTGTGTTCACTATTATGAATGAGCTTTGGATGTGAATAATTATTCTGATATTGCATTACATTATTGTATTATATTATATTATTGTGCTGAAGTTCATTTAGCTCATTCTGAATGTCATTTATTTCACAATGAAAAAAAAAGTTATAACAGTCTTAAATGTAAAAAAAAGTTTAATTGATCGGAAGTTACAAAGACTTGTCCTAACTAGTATGTTCTTTTTTATTTATCCCTACAGATTCAATACAGGGGATGCCAACTCCTCCACCCCCACCACCCCTCCCTCCCAGCTCCACTGTGACTCCCACCACTGCTGGACCTCCACCACCCCCTGGTCCCCCTCCTCCCCCACCACCTCTGCCCCCCACCCTTACCCCAACAGGGCCTCCCCCTCCTCCTGGGCCACCACCTCCACCCTCAGGTCAGGCACCGCCACCAGCACCACCTCCACCCCCTGCCCCACCTTTGCCCTCGGGTCTGTTCACCCCTTCGCCCACCACAGATGAGAACAAGGGCCTCTCTGGGCTCGCAGCCGCCCTCGCTGGAGCCAAGCTAAAGAAAGTGCCAAGGGTAAGGGATTGAGGCCTGTAAAACTCTCATTTGCATTGAATTACACCTGAAATGTCTTGATATACTGGAACTTGTTATACTTGATATAGAGTGGAATCCGCTGTAGAAATAGATCACTTATATTTTTCCACAGCTAATGTTTTCTTGAGTTTTTTTTTTTTTTTTTTGTATTGGGAAATTTCTTGGAAAGATATTTTTTAAGTGTTTTATCTGCAAAACAATCTAAAAATTAATTTAGAGCATGGCCCTCTCCCAAATGGCACACTAAACACTTCATACGAGTCCACACTTTCGTGACGTAAAGAAGTTGGGAAGAAGTCTGCTGTGGTGCTTGCCCCAGTGCGTGCTCGGCAAAAGTGCGCAGCGAGGGCGTTTATCAACCACGAAGAGGTTGCTTGCGAACATCCTTCTGAGACGTAAAATGTCAAAAACCATACAGTCTCATGGACTGGCTACCATGTGCGCATGTCCATTAATTGTCCGTAAGACCGAAAGTGCACATGAAGTGTGCCATTTGGGACTGGGCCTGTGCCTATCTCTCACAGCCTCGTTTTCATTCCCATTAAAGATGGCACTGCTGTGAATAAGGTCTATTGCGATGTGGATATGTCTGCACAAAAACAGATACGTCTGTTTTTTTGCACTAGCGGTAGTGGTATTGACCAGTGGTGGTTTCTAAGGTCAAAGTCCAAACGAACTTCCACTTTGGCCTGATTTTGGTCGAAATTACATCACGTTTGCTTGAAGTAAATTAAGGCTTTAAAACGGATAACCTTCATCAGAAATGCTAACTATTTTGTTCAATACCAAATCCTATATGTTACTGTAGAGTGATGAGCCCCTGGCTCCAGCAGCAGGACCCGCGGGGAGTTCTGGTGCTGCCAAACCCGAGGCGTCCCGTGGGAATGGTCTTTTACCCGGAGGAGGAGGTGGTCTAATGGAGGAGATGAGCGCCCTGCTGGCCAGGAGGTAAACTACGTGCTTAACCTGTCTATAATGCCAGTGTTTTCAAACAATGATTAGTCTTGGAAATCAATAAATTATCAGAAATGTTGTATCATAGCCAGAAATGAAATGTAAGAATATGTACCATTGATTTGATACAGGAGAAGAATTGCTGAGAAGGGATCATCACCAGAGCCTGAACAGAAAGCTGTGAGTTAACATAATGCATTATTCAGCTGTATACTGATCATATAGCTTATGTAATGGATTTTCAATTATATATAATATATAATATTTTATTTATTTATTTACTTGTTACTCCAATAGGATGACATTGAGGCCACAATAACTCCAAAAGTGTCCGCCTGTAGCACACCAGGTAAGCAAGGGGAAAGCAATGATTAAACCAAATAATAATTCTCCTTATGAATCATTAGGTTAGTTTTCAACTTTTAAAAGGAAGGTGATGTTTCCCATATCTTTCATTTGTTGTTCAGTCAGAGTATTTTAGTGCATATTCATCTAACACTGGCTACTAATGTTATACAGGTAACATTTGACAGCTGTTCAGTCTATCTCATGTTAATAATTTAGCTTATTGTTGAGCATGTGCAGTTGATTTTTTTTTTTTTTTTGTCTTGAAGCAAAACCATTGGAAAATCATGGCTATTTATAAAATATGAGAATACCAATATCATAAAATGTAACATTGCATTGCATTTATTTTACAGATATGCCCAGAAAGCCTTGGGAAAGGACAAACACCATGAATGGTAGCAAATCACCAGTCATTGGAAGGTAATAATTCGCATGTTATACATCAACCAATTCATAGTGCCTTTTGAAGAAAAATGTCCAGCGTTTGGGATCTGACTCCTTGGCAGGTCCCGTTTTCTTAAAGCTAAATTGAATTATTGTTGCTTCAACTGCTTTGCATCACGTGCTTGTGGCCGGAGGTCTCCTCACAATCGCATGTCAGAATGCAGGCAGTCGGGTCCCGTGCTTGACATCACTAAAGCACAGTGTTGTTGCTTCTCATCAGATCTGTGTGTACCAGAGCTGTTCAGCATTTTTTTTTTGAAGGATTCGCTTATTTTTTTGCTTATTATATGCAATCCATTCAGGCATTTACACATACAATTATACAAATGATTGAAGCACCTTTCAGTAGGGCTACATTGAAATAGAAATGAAGAGTTCAGATGCAAAAACCTCTAAGTGCCATTTGAAATTTTCTTCCAGAATGATCATTTTTATCAAGCTTGTATATTTAAGTTCAGTAATTTCACTTAAATTGCAATTAGGATTACCTTTTAATTGTCATTTAAGTGAAATTACTGAACTTGAATATATAAGCTTGATAAAAATGATCATTTTAGAAGAAAATTTCAAATGGCATTTAGAGGCTTTTGCATCTGAACTCTTCAAATATTTCTCCTTTCATTTAAATTAGACCTTTCAGAATCAGAAGATTATTTTGAAAATAATTAGATCAGATCCACACTATTGACCTCTGACCTGGTTAGTCTCTTTACTCTCACAGACGGGACACACCATGGAGAAATCAGATGGGTACTGACAAGTACTATGATTCCTTAAACAGGTATAAGAGGCTAGTTTGGGAACTCTTTCTAGACTTTGTTTGCTGAGAGTGCTCTTTAAATAGGATGAGGGTTGGTGCTGTGATTGTCTACAGTTTTTCGGGGCGTTTTTTCACACACAAAGATTTTGCTGTTGCCAACAATATAATCACCATGAATTTGCCCCTGCTGCCTTTATATACACACATACATAAATATAATAACAATAATACATGGTTTTTGAATACCAAATAAGCATATTACAATGATTTCTGAAGGATCATGTGACACTGATGACTGGAGTAATGATGCTGAAAATATAGCTTTGCCATCACAGGAATAAATTACATTTTAAAATGTACCAAAACAGAAAATGGTTATTTTAAATGTTACAATAGTACTTTTTACTGTATTTTTAATCAAATAAATGCTGCCTTGGTGAGCATAAGAGGCTTCTTTCAAACCACCTCTAACTTTGAAATGGTAGTGTATATAAATAATTTTCACACAATATAAATGTTACAATGGTTTATAATAATTTCACTTATGGGACAAGAGTGGAACAATTAAGTCTATATATAATGTAAAGTAATTTAAGGCCTCAGTTTCCAAGACTATAATCATCATTTAATGTGTAATAAAAATCACCCCCTGTTAAAAAAAGTGCACATAGTTATAGAGAAACACCTAGTTGTACCACCATAGTATCATTATTAGAGCGTCCTGATATATTGTGCAGTACTAGGTGTCGTCAAAGGCTGGGGCATTTGTCCACTCTTGCCAATTTGTCCACCTGGTTTAAAAGATAACATGCTCCCTCCTCCCCCACAAATGTGCATTTAATTTGGTTTATCCTTTGACATATAAAATGCAGAATGCTTTGATACAAACCCTTCGGGCTGTACACGCTTGTATCTCACACACAAGTTTTTTCTCTGAAATTTGTTTCTGACTTTTAAGCTGTGTCACAATGTTCTTATCCGCTTGACTTCTACTTCCTTTCTGCACAAGGCAACCCACTGTTCAGCATTCATTTCTTTTCTGATGGGATAGATGAAGCGTCATTTCCTTAATTTCCTGTGTTTTACCCTATGGTGATTATTGTGTTGGCAATAGTATCGTGTCTGATTCAGCTTCAGACAAGCATGAGATTGATATGGCAGCTGCCTTGTGTATTTTGAAGTGTGAATCCTGTCTCAAGCTTTTGGTTTGCTGTGGCATTTTTGTTGGGGTTGACTTTACAAATGTGTTGGTTTTGATGAATTTCTATATATTTCTCCTCTCTATATATATTTTAGATGTGTGAATTTCCTTTTCAGTACAACAATTTCACCTGAAATCTGAAATATCCTGCATTGTCCTCACACATCTTGAGTTTTTCCCATGTTAATGCACCAATTACAATTGGTGATTCAGTGTAGATTTACACAGCATCTGAAATGACAGTGTGTCACTTAACTTCTGCCCTGCATCTTGACTGCACAGTGTCGACTTCTGTGACTAAAATAGCTTTGCTTCACACCATATCTTTGCTTCTTAGACCAAGGTCTACACCAACTCCTACCGGATCCATAAGTGCCAATGGGGTGCCAACAGAAGCTCTTGACTATGACAGATTGAAACAGGTACTTCTCAAAACCAAGAACTAACTGACTTGAACTGAAACTCATTTAACCTTTTAGCCCTTCGGGTTTGATAAGAGGGTCTGTTCACTTCCTCAATACTTTGGCAAAGTGTTACCAAAGCTGGTAGTACAATTTCTTATTACAGCACTTCCTTAAAAACCGAGGGAGAATTACTGGTTGAAAGTGCAAGCTTTTGTGGGTGTGGACAATTATAGTCCTCTTTTCAAAGGCAATACTGTACCTCCCTTCTCTATGAATGAGCATGTTAGATATGAAAGGCATATGTAGGAATCTCACTTATCTGAGGACACAGTTACTCAAGTAGCTCAGCTCTGCCTTAACTTTTCCCCTGCCAAGTGCTCAGTGTGTTTTTCTTGTTGAAGAGTTACTAATAGCAGCTGCATTTAAATTGACTTGAATGTTGATGTTATAGCATACACCTACTCATCTGGATCTATTGTCATTTAATACTTTTATAGCTGCATTTGATATAATAGCTTATATTAAGAACTCATTGCATTGGGTCACATCAGTATTTTTACTTGGCACAATGTCCTTTTGGCATCTAATTTCTCTTGCATTCTAGTGTATATATTCTAGTCTTGAACGCAATCGAATTGACCTGAAAACAGTTCACTTTTTGATTTGTATATTTTCTTTTTTAGGACATTCTAGAAGAGATGAGGAAGGAACTATCAAAGCTGAAAGAAGAACTTATTGATGGTAACATTTTATTGCAATGTATTGCCACAATATATGATGCACATTGAGCTTTTTAATAGTTTTTAGAAACAAAATACTTGACACTCACACAGTCAAAAGTTTTAATTTGTTTCTCATGATCTTAAAACATTTTGATCTAAACGCCTATGGTTAAATGCTTTATGTTGTTAATGATAATATAAAAAAATCCTTTATTTCTCTCAATTAATAGTTAATGGAAATCTAGCGGAAATTTAGGTAATCTTAGGGTTTTTTTAATCTAAATTAATGTATTAATTTTTTTAATGGATTACTCCTTATTTAGTTTTTATGCAAATATATATATATATATATTTTTTTTATTAGAAATAATAATCTGTAATATAGGCCAATAATTATAAATAGTAATTTATTTGTGTATTATTATATTTGTTAATTTATTTATATATAAATACAGCTCACCCATTTTTACTTTGAAATTTTTTGAAAGACAATTTAATTTGTATAAAAGACAATTTAATTTGTATAAAATGAATTAATAGTTGAAATGTATTTATAAATATATATATGAAGAGTTCAGATGCAAAAGCCTCTAAGTGCCATTTGAAATTTTCTTCTTTAATGATCATTTTTATCAAGCTTGTATATTTAAGTTCAGTGATTTCACTTAAATGGCAATGATAATTACCTATTAATTGTTATTTAAGTGAAATAACTGAACTTAAATATACAAGTTTGATAAAAATAATCATTAAAGAAGAAAATTTCAAATGGCATTTAGAGGCTTTTGCATCTGAACTCTTCATATATATATATATATATATATATATATATGTATATGTATTTATAAATATATATATATATATAAATAAATTTCAACTATTAATTTATTTTATACAAATTAAATTGTCTTTTAAAAATTTCAAATTAAAAATGGGAGAGCTGTAATGAGTAACGAAATACCAAGTGTCCAGTTTTTGGTCAAAACATGCCATATTCCTATATTACCTTTTGATGTTCTTTCATATTTTAGCCACATCATTATTGTTTTAACATATTTTATAAAAGTAATAATGAATGATTAGGCGTTTAAACTTTAAACCTGTAAGATTTTTTGTGTAAAGTATAACTAATCTACATATCTGGCCAGGACTGTGGCTAATTCTTTTGCCATCTTTGTGTTTTCAGCAATCAGGGAGGAGTTGGGCAAGTCAAACTCTGCATAGGAGGATGAGATGCACCTGTATTTTTTTAAAACCACAATCTGTCTCTTCAGAGGTCCGCTTCAGTTATCTCAAAAGCAATGAAAATGGAAAATTACAGTTTTAACCAGTGGTGATCACAATAACCATGTTACTTCGGTGGATCTGTCAAGTATGATGCCGGGAAAGACAAACTTTGAGCGCGGGGGGGCACAAGGAGGCGTATCAGCGAGAGGATAACCAGACGCCTCATAGCGACGCCATACACCAAAAGCCCCATCTTGAGGGAAGTCAGGACACAGTCTTAAGGAAGTGACTGTCAGTATGCAATGGATGACTTTTACTGTGGCAAGAAAATGACGAAAATAGACAAACTATTACTGAATTACATAGTGTATTAACCATTGAAGAGTGAAATTGTAAATCAAGCAGATGACATTCATTCTACGGCACATTGTTTAGCAAAGGGCAGGCTTTGTTTATAACTTTAAAAGGTGGTAATGGTGGTGGTGAAGTAACGTTAACTCAGTTGGCCTTGTATAGAGCAAAACCTTGAATCTGGCCAACTAAACGAGTATGGTCTATTGCTGCAGGACTCTAAAGCTTGTCTTCCTACTATTTTAACCAGAATATGTACATTAAAATGATGACAAAATAAACATTATACCTGCAAGTCATTCAGTCAACCTGTTCTAATGTACGCCATGACCACATCAGGTAGCTTACTCGCGCTTTTGGTCGGTTTCCATTTATTATTCAGACTTCTCTTTTCAAAAGTGAATGCTCGACAGGCTGTCTCTAATGAGCCACTGTTATCTGTATACCTTCTTCGTCTTGTGTGTTCGCTAAGTGTTCGGGAAGATCACGAAGGACAATGCCTTTCTACTGTACATCATTGTAGCTCTCTACCAAAATCCTCTCAGCCAATCGAAGTTAAGGTTGACGTCAACGTCGGCTCAGACCGTATCTGTAGATAGTGCTAACCAGAAATACTATGAACTTTTTATTCACCGTAGGCTCTTTTCATATTTCTTTCGATGTCAGTGCATGTCTTCTTATGAACGGTAAGGGAAAAATGGTTGCCACGAAAAATAATTTAGTTTTCAGTTCATAAGCAATAAGTGTAGCATTGTTGCGCTTTTTTTCTTTTTTGTTTTTCATCGATCATCCACTCTCCCCTCAAACTGTGTATGAATGTTGTCCATACGCATTCTTTAAAAGTGCAGTTCACAACAGACACCTCTTTATAGCCATAATAAATTTGCAGGGGTATGACATTTTACTCATTTTCCTTTGGATTCAAGTATGTGCAAGATCATGTATGGCAAATCATTCATCTTGCATGGAGTATTAACCAACTAAATAAGTCTGGAGCGTCTAATGAGGGCCCAGCAGCACATCATAGCTTTTTAAATGGGACTTTTTTTTTTTCTCTTTTTTTTTTTGTCCAAGCATTTATTGTTTTACTTTTCTGCACACCGGAAGGCACTTGGCTGTTTTTCAGAGGGGCTTTATCTTCCAACACACTTTTGTTAGGGAACTTTTATTGGGAAATGTGCTTTTTAAGACTGAAATCTTTGTACAAACTGTCATAAAGTGTGATTATAGGCTGTGCAAATTTTGAGGAGAATAACGGAGAACATTTGTTAAGTTCTCTCAGATCAGATTTTTCCTCGGTTATCCATTTCCCCCATGCCATGCTCACTTGTCAATAGTTTTTTTTTTTCTCACTTGCTTAGTTTAATACCATCACTCGAAAATAATCTCTCAAGGAATAAGAACGTTTGTATAGAGTGTTTACAGCATTGATTGCACTTTAAAACCCCGTAGAAGTTCAAATGATTCTATTGCTGACAAGACGGCTGACACTTTGTTAACGCCGTTATCACCAAAGCGGTTATCTCTAGAACGTCACTCTCTCCAGATCCCTTTGTTTTGACGACAAATAACTATTGTTGATCGTCAGGTTGAGCAAGATGTTTTGATCAGGGTTGATTCATTCCTGGATAAACCTGTTAGTGATCTTCATGGTTTGTGCCTTGTTTGGAAATTGCATTTGATATGTCAAAAATGTAAAGCATATATATAGAGAGTATTAATTTAGGGCCTGCCATAACTTTTATTCATTTGTTTTGCATTTTGCTTCAGTGAGTTACAAAGGACACTTACAATCTTTGTTTAAAATCAAACATGCATTCACATTCTTTTGTGTCATTTTTCTGTTGCATTACAGTGTGGATTGTGTTATGGTTAACACCATGTATGCTGTTGGGGTCTGAGAAATGATCTTTGTCGTGGTGGTGATCAGTTGAACAATATTAGAAAAACATGTTGTCGACACACTGAGATTCGATTATGAGCAGATTATGATTATGCTGGTCAGATTGAACTGAATGTCCTTGTAATGCAATTTTCAGTCTCTTTTTTATCATTCATGTCGTACCATACTGTTTTCATGTTAATTAGAAGTTTCTTACATGCTAACATTGTTTTGTTTGAGCAAATTAAATAAAAATTGCAATACATTGCTGTTTGCATTTATTTATGAATTAAAAAGCAAAAATTGATTACATGAAAAACAAGTTTTACTTCACTGTATTTTCCTTTCAAAGCAGCAAACAGATCCTGAAGGGATTATTAAATTGCATTCAGATTATTAATATCCACTCAAATCGTATTTTTAAGATTCGAAAGTTATTTGCACCTTGGTAATGACATAACTTCAACTTTCACACCTCATCGAAGGCAAATGCTTTTCTGTTTGCTGCTGCACTGTTCCGTTGTGGCAATTTGGCAAACAGGAAGAAGGTAGGACTGCACTAAAACTGCAACTCGTCTCAAGAAGATGAGTTCCACGAATCGTTATAGACCACCATTGCAATCGTATTAATACTAGCACTTTAAAATGTAATAGTCTGTGGCTTTGACTCTAAACTTTAGTGATCTTATTCAGTGTTGTTTTCTATCATAGGCTAACTTACCACATTTACAAGATATATACAAGCTTAATATAACAACAAAACAAGGTTCTGTCTTCCACAGAAATACCTTTCAAATCAGAAGTGGGCAATTAAAAGCATTTATGAACATTATCAATCTGAAAATAAAATTAAAACCAGAAAACTTCCAACAGATAAGAAGTATCGTTTTATTTATTAGTTTATGCATTTCAAAAGCATTACCCTCCAATGCTTATGTCTGAACAATACACGTTATTAACGTCAACCTCAGTTTAATAAACATTATTGAATGATAACGTTATTTAACATTTACGAAAAAAGTCGCGGTAGAAGCAAAACTTATGACGTCGGCGGTCCATCCTGTCTCCTCTCATATCTATCAACTGTCTCGCAAGCAGGACTCCATTTTGTAAACCCCTTCGAACTCAAATGCCTCGTCTCCAATCAACGCTCACGCAAACCTCTCCGCCGCCCAATCAGAAAATTCCGAAATTTAAAAACAGGACTCGACAGCCAATCAGAAAGCTTCCCGCCCTCAAGGTCGCTGGTAGGTTGAGCGGTCACGGAGGGAGGAACGTATTCAAAACGGGGGCTAGTTTTTAAAACAATATTCTTTATTTTATGAAGTTCTGCGGAGAAGCTTTAGTTATTATTAGGAGATTAAGATCGATTGCAGGTAAGAATCTTAATGAATTCCCTTGCATGTTTAATGTTTTTGTCTGGAAATGTCTTTATTGTGACTGCGTAACGTTAGTTAACGGTACATAACTTGATCCGCGCTCGGTCCGCCCGCATCTCGTGCTTTATGAAGTAAGAACATAATATATTGTTTTTAAACTGTCACTACTTTCTGCATACGATATATACAGAACACGTATACTCTTTGTTTATGTGAATAAAGCTGCTTATCATTGATGTGGTGTTGGATTTGAATGATAACTCGATTTCCACCCGGCTCGTTACACAGGAAACTTGGGCACGGCGCGCATTTATTGTCGTCCACTCCACACAACTCGTATTTTATCTCCACACAATTAAATTCTGCATTCGTTTTTAATATATGTTTAAGTTAATGTCTTACTTCATATTGGACATTTCGCTTTCTTTTTCTTGTATGTGCACGAAAGTGCAAGTGATTCCGTGCTAAGTAAGTTAACGTCAAATAACCACTTTTAATGGTCTTTTGGCTGTGGTTTGGCCGTAAATATGTGTTAAATACACCACTCGCTCATTATAACAGCTGGTTTCTGTACTCGTTGTTTACTGGTTTAATGTTGCTGTGTTATGAGCCTGTCGCATGCAGACTTACAATGGTTTGAATACATGACGTTTTCCCTCCATTCCTGTCATTCTTTTGCTGTGTTAAAGGAACAGCACGTGAATGCTCTCTGTGCCTCCGTTGCACATGTAAAACACAAAGTAAACACACAATGATAATTTATTTTACTTTTTTGTATTAGGCTAAATATTTCAGGATGTATGTTCAGTCCGACAAAACTAAGATTTTTCGTTGGTCTGTAAAGGTAACGTTACAATTATAATTTCACAAATGTGGTCAGTGTCTGGCATACTGTTTACTTAAGTCAGATTTTCTGTAGTAAGTTTTAATTTGAATAGCCCCTGGCAGTGATAGTAAAGCGCGCGTGTGTCGTCTTGTGTTGTGCCATTACATTTGCACAACAAAAGGCAACAGACCCCGCCCACTCACATTCACACTGTTTAAATCTTTTGCTCTGTAGTTTCACTTCAACTCTGGAAGCACATGAGATTTCTGCATTGCTGGACTTCAACTCTGTTGGGTGTGTGTCAGTGTGTTCTGGTTCAAGAATGTCTGGAATGTGTTCATGGGATTAGATGGTTGGCTTATGTTTTTATGGGCTGTACTTTTCATGTGGTTTTAATAAGAATTTTTGTGTGTTTCCTACAGAGTGTGCCTGCTTGACTGCTATATAGCCTATGCTTCTATAAGTGTGAGCTGAATTTTTACTTAATGTTTCTGGCCTTGCTTAAGTGCTAAAATCATTAATGTGTTGGTGGTTAAGAAAACTGCTTCATGCCATGGTGGGGTTTGGTTCGTCACAACAAAATTTCTTTGCAAGGATCTATTTTTTTTTTTTTTTTAAATCAGCACCAAGCGTTACTGTCTTTCAGTGGTGAAGTGATAGTTTTTTAAATCGTTTAAATATGTGATAATAATAAAGCATAAACGTTAGACTGCAACATTGAAACAAATCTGCATTATGAATGCATTATTATTATTTTTTGGATTTATTATATCTTAATATATTATTTATGCAAAGTTAATTACAGTAAAAATAGTTACAAACTTTTTTCAATTTTTTTAATCTTGTTTTTGTTTTTTTAAGCTTGAATACTATTTTATTTTTTATTTGAGGATGAATGTCTAAATTAAGTTGAGTAATAATGCAAACATTTTTTGTTTTTGGACACTATTCCTGCTTAGAGATGGGGAAAATTATCTGTTGATCCAAAATTAGAGAAAAGGTTGAGTAGAAAAGTGTGAATATAAACAATACTATTACTAGTAATTACTATTGGTCTTTCTTTATGGATTGTTTTTGTCTGTGGCTGGATAGTAAAAGTCATCTCTTTGGTTAGCTTGTTACCTGTGTGATAGTAGAATCCCTCTCATAAAGGCCATTGAGAGCTCAACAATAGTGTGGGTGCAGAGGGTACAGTGTGGATGTGTAATTCAGACCCATCAGCACTTCTGAGATGACAGCTGACATCACCGCTTCATTGTCATCAGGCCATGTGCAGCTACTCTGGTGTTTCCCTCGTGGGTTTACCATTGAACTGTCTGTAATATTCACACAGAATCTTTAGGTCTAGAAAGATTTCGATTGTTAGTTTATTTTGAAGCACACATGCTCATGTGCATTGTTTTTTAAAAGTGATGTGTGCTGCTTTTCCCATGTAAATCCCAGCTTAATATGCAGAGACAACTGTAAGTGAGCTATTCATGGGTGAACTTTACCAAAAATATAAACGATGTGGCACTTTGATTACATCAAAATTTTGTTTTAGCATCTGAAGTTCCCAACATGTGTTTTTTTTTTAGTTTGTCTGTTCTTGTAAGACCTGTCTGAGCGCTTAAACCAGTGGAAAAATCAGTTTTTGGCACAGAAGTTACTCATTTGACTTTATCTTTAAGGTCTGCAGTACACTGCGGCATAATACTATATCATTAAGTCAGTGTTGATGTATTTAGATTGTAGTATGTAATTTCCAGACTGTTGTGTTGTTTAGTAGTTTGTTAAACTGGAAAGGCCATAAGAATGCACAATGTCATCAATCATACTGATATGATTCCTGTGGGGAAAAGAACATGGTGAATTGGTTGTGTTAATTGTTTTGTAGGGTAAACGAGAATGCCGACTACAAGGTTTCAAAATGGAGATACTGTAATGGGCCGCTGGCCTGGCAGTAACCTTTATTATGAGGTCACGGTACTGAGTTACGACAGCAAGACTCGGCTCTACACCGTCATCTACAAAGATGGCACTGAGCTGGAGCTGAAGGAATCTGACATCACGGTATGAAACCTCTTTCTGACATGTTCTCCACTCTCTCCAGTATGATTTGAGAATGATTCAAATGGCTTCTTGTGCTACAATTAGAGCAAAAACATGTGACCACACTGTACAAATGAGTTCACTAATTTTTTATGCGATTACTTTAGTGACCTCGATTTTTTCTTAATGTCATAATATTTCTTCAAAGGTTTCAAAATCCTAAATCTTTCTTAATGTCTAGGTTCTAATCCATGCCTCTGAAATAGCAGTTAAATAGAGATTTAACTGAACTTAACTTGCAGTGTCTTGTGGATATTGTTTGCTTTATTGCAGAGCATGGTCATATTTAAGCAGGGTGTTACACGCTCTCGGTCCAGATCCCGCTCTCGTTCACCGGGACGCCCACGTCGTAGTCGCTCCCGTTCTCCTGCTAGGACGTCCCGTCGAACTTCCTCTCGCACCACAGATGTGCAAGTGCGCAAGGAAAAACTCAAAGAAGTGCTGGAGGTCCGACTCACACCCGTGGTAAGGACACTCATTTGTTTGTACAAAACTAACACACTCTTTCTTTCTTTCTTTCTTTCTTTCTTTCTTTCTTTCTTTCTTTCTTTCTTTCTTTCTTTCTTTCTTTCTTTCTTTCTTTCTTTCTTTCTTTCTCTCTTTCTCTCTCTTTGCATGATATGTCTTATCTAGGATGTTTATATTCACACACACTATTCTCTTTTTCAAAGAAGTCTTATTCTTACCAGGATGCATTTATTTAAGAAATACAGTTAAATTGTGTGAAATATTACTGCAATTTAAAATAAGTTTGTTCTATTTGAATGTATTTTAAAATCTGTTTCATTCAAGTGATCAATCTTGTGTTGATTTTAAGTATAGGAGTTTAATCTAATTCAGAGCCATTAACCCAATCCTTTTAATGCTGTTATCTTATTTGTCTTTCCTCATGGGTTCACCTCACGTGTGCTTGGCTGTCATCTGTCTCAGCCGAGGAAACATGAGAACAATAGCAACAGCAAACACGAGAA